ATGACCGCAGAATTAATACCAATTTTATTGAATCTGAATCTAATATGGTATCCAAGAATAAGGGTATTTCCGTAACTGTATTCCTGTTAAAGCTTGATTCACACCTGTTTAATTACACGAGGTAGTAGTTCAAGTTCAGTGGTAATTGTACCCAAGTAACAAATTTTGGGCGGCTATTTTGAGATCATAATTAGAAGCCGTAGGCAATTAAAGCGTACCGAACACATTTTGTCACATTCATGTCCACCCATTTATGCATAGTATAACATTTTAAACAATTTCTCACTTTCTCTGTGATTCACACATTATCATGAACAATAACTAGCCCCGAGGGCTTAAAAATAACCTATTTTATGTTTAAATATAACGAGTACAAAATGAAATGTTAAGTTCTGACTACTCTCACGGGGACATCGCCTTGAAATAATGTATGGATGATGTCGATCGTAATACCCAGGGTTTTTCCTTGGTGCAGATTCAGTTCAATGTAAATTATTAATAGTAGAGAGGAAAATTTATGCTTCGAAAGTTTTTGATCCAGCAGATTCATTAATAATCAATTCATCAATTGATGCCCAGTTATTAATAATGTAACCGACAGTTTCACAGAAAATTGTCGTTAGTGGAACTTAGTATATCGTACATTAATTATATTATACTCATACTTGTATCCAAAAGCGACAACGTTACTGCCATCCTTTTTTTTGTCTCTCACCCCCTCTGCCGTATTAATTCTAAACGAATTTAACTTGGATGAGGCGAAGTCGAAATACGAGTCGTTCCGTTGGCTTTGTCAAAAATTGTATTGCTTTCGGAAATTCAGTTTGCATCAGGCTTCAGATAAAATTCATTGAATGCAACGTTTGTCCAATTTTAAAGTAAAAATAAAAAAAGACAGCTGAGAGTACAGTAAAGTAAAGTAAATTATCAGCCTATACATGTCCCACTGCTGGGCAAAGGCCTCCTCTGTACAGTGGATATCAGCGCATAGTCCACCACGCGGCCCCACTGCGGATTGGCGGACTTCACATATCTTTGAAATATATTTTTTGATATTATTTCGAAAATATGCAAGTTTCCTCACGATGTTTTCCTACACCGCTGAGCACATGACAATTCAAAGCACTTAAAATTAACAATTTCATTGGTGTTGGCACCAGGGAACGAACTCAGGTTGCTCGAATATGTTGAATTAAAGGCTAGCTCCCGGACACTGAGCTATAAAGGCTCCAGTGTACAGTGTAGAGAGAGTATAGTATAGAGTGAGTAGTTTATAATGAACGACTGTCGTTCGTGGCAAACACCTTATATAACGGCTGTAAAGAGCTGACATTTACATGTGGCATTGCTGACAACAAGAATGAGGTGGGAACATGCTTATGAATAAAAGACGCGGCCTCATTTCCATTGTTACAAATCCAGCAACTGAACAACGACAACGGGCCAAGGCTCTTTATGGTTTCACTAAGAAACACCACGATCGGTATTGTGTAATGCACAGCATGAGCAATACCTTTAAAAGTCTCAAAATGTATACAAATAAAGCAAGGTTGGAAAATAGTTCGAAGTAGACCAGTATTCTCCATGGGAAGAATAATTTAACACGTGACAAAAAACGTTTACACAGACAAGGGGCGTATGGTGTTAAAGTACATTGAACAATTGTTATACTTTACGACCATAAGATAAACGCTGCTTGATTTTATTTATCTACGGAGTTACAGAAAAATGTACATTCTGATGTTATATTATGTTTATAGCGATTGTTTTAACCTCTCAGATTGTAAATGCATTTTTTGACTGTTTTAAATTACCTCCTTAAGGAAATACGAAACATTATACACAATCAACTAAGGAATTAGCTCAACTAATCTAGCAGCGGAATTGCAATGCTGCAGAAAGTGAAAAGCAAAAAGCAGATAGTGAAAACTAAAGGACGTTAATAATCCTTCTCAGTAGTATCAGTATAATATTTTTATTAAAGCCCTTTTCAAGATATTTCATAAAGTTTTTTGTGGCTCCTCCATTGTAACATATTGTGATGACCGGGACTCATTTCGCTGTGGCTTTTGAACTCGTCACTACGGTTTCTTTAAAGACATGATGCGAGAAATTACTGTGTTAGCATGACTAATAATTATGTTTGGAAATTAAAATTGTTTCTTTTTGTTATTTATAATGTATTTCTAAACTGTAAGTTCTTAAGTCAATAAAAATTAACACTGTTGAATACACTAGGTGGTCTTGTGCGCTTCGGAATTTTAACGAGTTTTTACGAACCATAGATTGGCCGAGGTGCTTGTTTGGTTCCCTTCATCGTCGATTCTGACCTAAATTATAGCCCCTGCGGGCGCACGTGGCTCCGCTTGACTGTTGCGCATTGGAAGGTCGGTGATAGTGCGGCCAGTTACAAAACCGTAAACATCTACACGACTATATTCCGATATAGTTACTACACAGTGCGTTGCCCTTTGTTCTGACTGAAAAGTTCTTTCGTAGTCTATGCGGAGTCTTTGTTACACGGTAAGTGAATAATATCTCAGAGATAACTGAACCTTCTTAGTATGACCTAGTACATTGAAATTATATAAATAAATATTGTACATCCACAAATATTTTGGTTCAAAAATCTTTAGCTCAAGCTTACCTAATTCGCCAACCGACCGATTAAATCGGTTTTATCTTGAATACAATACAAAAAGTCTGAATGATGTCTGTATTCCTACGAAAATGGTAAGTGAGGAAGCAGCGTCTTGACTATGATCGTGGTTAGAGGGTGTAACGCTAAAGGGAGTCCGAGAAAGTTCTATGTGAAGAATGATATGTGAGTATTGACATAAAAGCTGAGGGAGGAATGTGTAAAGGAAAGGATATGTTTTATCAACACCACACAGTGAAGTGCATGAAAAAGAAAAAGGTGCGTTATAAATGATTCACCAAGTGTTACCGGCAACATAAGCGATTCGAGCGTCAGATTGTTTATAAAGCCGTTGCCGACCAATTTCCATTCATTGCGCAGTAAAGGTACATACGGCCCTTGGGAAAAAGTGGGCCACGTCAATTGTTACGAAAGCAAGCGAAGATCTTGCCTTTATAAGGATACTTCAAAGGTATGTTTTATTGAATGTTATATTGAATTGAATAAGTTTGGATGGATCATCTCGTTTGGAGTACTTCCACGGCACATAAAAGTGGCGTAAAGTAAAAGTATTGTGTGTGAGCTAACCAGGGCCGCACTGTTTATTGGAAACGTAAGTACAACCCCAAGTTATTGATTTCTATGGGCGACGGCATTCACTTAACGTTAGTTGACGGAAACCGAACTGCCTGCCCTCGGGAAGAAAAGAGATCTTCTCTCAATCTATCAAAGCGATGGACATAGGGTAGAGTAAGAAAAGATAGAAAAACTAAAACTAAAAATTTAAACTGGTCGTTAAAAGACAGTTATTAAGAAAACAGGTAGTAATGTTATTGCCTGTATTACTTTTACAGATCACAATACAATTCACTGCAACCTATTAATAGCAGCTTGAATATCTTTTACCAATAGTATCTAATCAGAACGGGCCTCCATTCAATCGGATTGAACAAACGACTTAGCAACTTTCCGGACCACCGAGGAGATTTTAAACCTCAATTCACACCTATAAAAAATCGGAAGTTAAGCGCCTGTGTTCGGTGTCACGAGAAATCCGTCTCTAAAACGATTTTATGTATTATTACAGTGTAATAAAGTTTAAAATCCTTCTGTATTAAAGCTGGCCGCTTCCAACTTGACCCCCTCATCGATCTTAGAGTAACCAAGTGAGTTTGCGACATAGCGGACATTGTGAGGACTCGATGGTGGGCTTTTCCGCTTCCTGCTACAAGCGACGTAAGCCCAATTACGACCGAGTATAAGGCACGAGTCACGATCGATACACACTTATTTCGTGTCACGACGACATTGTCATACTTGAAGTGTGCGCGGGCAGGTGCGAGTGTTTGGGTCTTATTATGTACTATATGGAAGTCTCTACATTATATGTATTTGTTTCGCTTATTATTTTATTTAGTACCTACTTTAACCGACTGAGTCAACCTGGCCGACAATAAGTTGACTGGCAGAATATGCCGTTGGCATTAAGTTTGCTTTTTAACAATTTATTTATGTGCATAATTTTATTTTGTGTGTACCATCATAGATGGGGATTTCGTTTACTATAAGATCATATAATCGCAAAAAGTTTAACATTCGTTAACCTAGTTCTAGTAGGTGTTAGGTTTTGCGCACATACATACCGACTGCATGACATACTGTTACTTATGTGAGTCAAGTTTGAAGTCAACGCAGACAAAAGCTAGTTATAAGCAAAATTCAATAAATTACTCCCAAATACCCAACTACATGGCTTCTACAAAGTTTATCAAATGATTTGATTAGCGATTTTTTCACACAATCACAGAAATTATCACGATTTTATTTTAAAATTTTGTAATCTTTGTAATTTAAAAGTTGCTATTTAATATAGGCTGTTAAATAGTCCCCTTGTTTCTTAGGATAATATATGCACATAATGCATGCAAATATGTGTCTCTTTGTATAAATTTTGTGTTCATTGAAATTGCTGTAGAAATTTTACGGTCGATCGGTCCATGTATATAATAAGAATTATATTACATTTTTATAAGAATTATGTCGACTTATTTCTGTGGCTAGTGGTGAGTGGGCAATCTTTTCTCACTCGAGCTCTTCTTAAGTTAAGTATAAATAATCGGCAAGCAATTTCAACTAGCGGTCAAGGCACAATGGTTTATTATATAATGCGTAATTTGGTTAATATTTAGCAACAACATTGAGCTAACTACTTGAAAATTAAATCACTCATGAAATACAAAAGTATAATCAAGATTCGCCTGCGTCTAGACGGAGTTTTGTCGCGCTGTCAAGTATTTTTGCTATTATATTCGGAAAGGCGTTTTAAAATATCTCTAGAATACGGTTGGTAAATTTCACTTACCAAGTATAGCTCTCAGATGTCCCTCGAGTGTGTGCAGAATCGTGCTCTTGATCTCCTTCACGCTCTTCCCGAGGAACTGTTCGCACGCAGTGGTGAGCAGCTCGTCTTCGTTCATGATCTTGCACTGGGCAACGCCGGTCACCGTCAGGGGAACACCTTGAGCGGTTTCCACGTACTCGCACATCGGGTTAAGGGTCATAACCTGGTAAATAATAATTGAAGCCGTCTATACATGCATAATTGCATATCACACAGTTTGATGACTTCGTTGAATGACGTTTTTGCTTCCAGTAATAAAGACTGAGTCGTGATAGCTCATTGACAGAGCTCATTGACATCGCTTTTAATTCATTATACTCGAGCAACCTCGTTCGATTCCCGGCACCGGCCAATGAAATTTTAATTTGAAGAGCTAACTTATCACGTGCTTAACGGTGAAGTAAACATCGTGAGAAAACCTGCATATTTTCGAAATAATAACAATTTTTTTTTTAAATGAGTCAAGTGCGCCAATCCACAGTGGGGTCGCGTGGCGCACTATACCCTAAGACCATCTGTAATGAGGAGGCCTTTGCCCAGCAGCGGGATACTTTTAGGCTATTACTTTACTTTTTTTACTTTACATAAGGACTGTATAAGTATAAAGCTTCATTACACACGCAGTAGTTTTTTTCTTTAAAGGAAGCATCAGACAGTATACTGTGCGCATAGGCTGATAATAAAAATTCATTCAAATGACATATCGATTAATTATTATCAGACGAAAATCATTCACCAATGAATCACTCATTTATAAATCATCATTAATTAGTTCATAAACTTGCTTCCAGCTTTGACTTTATCTACACATCTTAAACTAATGAATAGAGATCCGGTATTTTTTCGGTTATACAGCGAAAACTACTGAACCGATCGGAATAATGTTGTAACATTAGATGCAGCGGATTTGGAGGTTTTAGTATATATCAATTTTCGCTATCACAATTTTCGCGGACCACGTCGCGGGTGAAGTGATTGTAAAAAATTCGTTCTTGTTTTCAAAGTTTTAGCTTAAACAAAATAAATTATTTACGGTAAAGTCCGTAAATAACTTATATATATATATATTCGTCGCTTTTCTTTTGTTGTTAAGTTCTCGAATACTGGGTTACGGTCACGGGGCCTATTTCGTAAAATGTAAAATTTGTTAAATAGTTTTTATAATCACAAAAAAGAAATACAAGAAATCGTTAACATCATATTATCAAGAAATATTACTGACGTATGCGGTATGTGATATTCTTCCCGCTGCGAGAACCTATATTAATATAATGCGCCAATCTGAAGTATGATGTATAGTTATAATTATAACCGAAATTTATCGGTATATGCATACTACACGGTACATAAAAAAGTAACATTCCATTCTGTGTGGCACCCTAACATTTATTAAGATTTTCTTACAAATTTATCGTAAACGAAGAGTGTCTAACGTGATATGATATGATATATATATGAGATATGATATATATGATATGACATACCTCGAGGGAGATACGCTGCACATCGGTGACCAGCCACCACGCCCATGCGTAACCACCAACTATGGTGCGTTTCTGCGTGGAGCCAAAGCATCCGCCTGCAAAACGGAGTCATAAACTTTAGTTACAAACGAACACCGAGCTGACCACCTCAAGTGGCCTAAAAATGTGTAATAACATGAAGTACACCGTCTCAATCCGTATTTAACGTGTTTTTTTATGTAAGAAGATGACAAGCGGGCTTGTGGTTCATCTGATTCTAAGTGATGACCGCTGTCCCTGGACATTTACATGCGTAGGGTTTCAGATGCGTAATAAAGTGGGCTCAGGTTGCCTCCCTCACCAGACAAAACGCTGAAGTATCACACTACCACTTCACGCCGGTATCCTGGGAGATTGTCATACTTCCTCGGACGGACCTGCTCATTAGTGCAGAAGCGAAAACTATTGCGTGCCCCTACCATGGTGAAATAGTGGACAATGAACAAAAATTTAAAACGCCATCCGTCTGGATTACAGATGACATCCTAATATAACGATTTTCTTAAATGCAAAAAATCCTAGAACTTCGCACATTTCACAACCTAATAATTATTTCATTTCAAAAGTTTTTCTCTTTTTTTATATCTGTACATTAAATAAGTTATGCTATTTTTGTTCATATATTCATATCTTGCTATTATTGCTATTTCTGGAGGTTACTGGCTCCTTAAATGAAATCTTTTGTTCCATGATGTGTTTTCTTTAATTTAAATGCATATATGTATACAGTGTTTAACTTATAAGTACATCACATCAGAATAATAAAAGTTTTTTAGGCATTTAGTTGGTAGGCCTGTTTAAATAAATTAACGCATCTGTAACCAACCACGTGTTGTACATGTCCATGGGCGGTGGCAATAACTTAACATCGGATGAACATGTAAGCTTATCAACTTATTTTAGACAATGATCATTGTAAAGATTCAATTAAATAAAACATCACAATACAAAAAACACACCTTCATTACAAATGACTGTCGTATTCGAGTAATTATGTTATTATGTCATTATCTATATCCATACGTAGATAAGGTATCATTTGAATATATAAAAAATCAACTCGGTTACAATCGACTCATGATCATCAAACGAATCATGAAAAAATTGATATGATATATACTTTAAAATTCCAGTATAAGTTGCTTAACATATGCTATAATTTCTTGAACTAATTAAATGCTGAAAGATAACCTTCAAAATCAATAGGTACTTACAAATCACTAGGTAATTACATATAATAACAGCCCATATGTATGTGTCCCACCGGTAGGTAAAAGCGCCCTCTATCCAGAAGGTATGGAAGCATAGCAGCACGGCGGTTTGGTGGATTTCATATAATATTTTCGAAACATGTTTTAGCTATTATTTAGAAAATATGCAGATTTCCTCACGATGTTTCCCTTCACCGTTGCGCAGGTGATAAATCAGCACTTAATATTAACGATATCATTCATACCTTCACCGGAATTTGAACTCGGTTACTCGAGTGAGAGTATATTGAACTGAAAACGAGCGCCCAGACACAGCTATCGCAGCTTTTAATATTTATTATGCTTCATTTTAATATTTATTTTATAAGTCTAAAGGGCTTTTGCATCCTGGAAACGGCTGCCATAAAGCGCCATCTCGTAAATTTTTGGAAAATTCCAATTGTTATGGCTATTTTGCTTCAGGTACCTCAAACTTTTTCAATATCATATAGCAAGATCGCTATATGATATCTAAAAGAGCCTTATCGAGAAATATTATTTAAAAAAAAAACGATTTTACTACAGGCAACTTAGACAAAGGGCAACAAACTTGGTTACAAATAGAAAACAACTGCTAAGCGGCGAGAGTGGTTCGGGACGCAACATAAACGGGTTTAGTTTCCCGTTTCCCGATTATCAACGAGACTACGCTTTCTCCTCCAAGATTAAGCGATCGTTGCAATCCCGCAAAAAGGTTGCATCACTATGCTATCCTGAGACTTTTGCTATTGTACGAATGCGCGAATCATTCAGTTAAGTTACATTTATATACAGAATCACGGTTAATTTTTAATTTTTAAACGAATTATAGTATGAATAATTAAAATCAATAAACAGTTATATAAATTGAAAAATACCTATTTTATTTTTAACAATCCAAGCCAAAAAACAATAATTTTGAGTAGGTATTAATAAAAATAATTTGAATTAAAATTTTAAAAAACGAGAAACCATATCATCGAACAAATAGAAACTTGTTTTAGATCAAATATTAGTAGAGAAAGAAATGATAACAAAATACATATTAATCAAGCTATCCCTTTGACGGTACGATATATTTTAGAGTGGGTACACAGAACATCATTTGAGGCGCTATGGAAGCTTTAATTACAGAAAACGCAGCAGGTTATTTGATACCTTTCTACGCGCCCCATCTCAACGCTGGCTTCAATTGACTTTCGAAAACGTTTTAAAAAATAAGAACATCGCAAAATAGGCGAACGAATCTCGCGTCGCCATTATTTGCGTATCTGTTAGCTTTCACTAGAAATGGAAAACATGCCGTAATAACGAAATAAATTTCAGACGTCAACGGCGCTTTCTTCGCGAATGCATTTCCATTGGATAATTCAGAATATCAAGACAAATAGTCGTCAACTTAAAAAAAGACAAACATTTTTGTCATTTTTCAACATTTTACTTCAGCTAAATATTAGAAGAGAATTCACCGTATTAAGGTGTATGGTTAACGACCTCTTCTAATAATTTAATCTCACCAAAGTCCATGACTGCTCAACTTTAATCATTGGTCCTTAAAGGAAAGTCACCAGACTAGGGTATGTATTTGTAAATTATCGACAAATCTATGGATAAATTTCATAAGGGGAACAAGTTTAATGAATAATTATTAAAGATGATGATTTGATCCCTGCAAGACTTTGATTGATCAATATATTTGCGCGACTACGTCTGCGTAGAATAGGCTGAAGGCGTAACATTCAGACAGAAAGACAGATAGATAATTATACATAAAATATGTATATATGTAAATTATAGCCTATGTCTTATTTATAAGCTAAATTATTGTAAAGTTTCATTAAAATCCATTCACTAGTATTTGCGTGAAAGAGTAACAAACATCCATACATACAAACTTACGCGTTTATAATATTAGTAAGGATTGTATTTGATATCTGTTAACCACAGCTCGTGTGCATAACTTGAAAATAAGTTATTGAAGAATTCTTCCTAGTATTGCAAATATATTACGTACGAAGACGGAAAAGATAAAAGAGGTCACACCTCTTTTATCTCTTTGTATACTGCGTATGAATATAAGATAAACACTTTATAGACAGCTATCTAATGTAAATATAATGACATAAGATCCAATAATTCGATTACTATCTCAATTTCACATTTCAAAACACACAAAACATTACATACACTTTAGACCACAATTACCTGATTTGCAAAAAATTGCAATTACTTTAGTACTGAATAATAGGAATAGTGTAATAAGTTGAGATCTTAATAATATTATGATTACAAGTAATTGGTCAGTTTTGAACCAATGATAAAGATATGCCGTGATGGCTCAGTGTCCGGGCGCTCGCCTTTAATTCAATATACTCGAGCAACCTGAGTTCGATCTCCGGTGCCGGCACCAATGAAATTTTTAATTTCAAGTGCTGACTTATCACGTGCTCAGCGGTGAAGAAAAAATCGTGAGGAAACCTGCATATTTTCGAAATAATAACAAAAACAAATATTTCGAAGATATGCGAAGTCCACCAATCCGCAGGGGGCCGCGTGGTGGACTATGCCCTGATACAATGGTTACTTTATTAAAAAGCGAACTTTATTAATAGGTGACAACGCATCTGCAACCCGGTTTTGCAAATGTCTATGGGCGGTGGTTATCACTTAACATCAGGTGAACAGCCAGCTCGTTTACCAACTTTTCAAAAACTGATAATTTGTTTTTAACTAGTCCTAATTTCGTAAATCAATCGCTTTCTTCGCCAATACCAACACCCGAAGGCAATCTTATAGGCGACACATGGCGCTCCTGACCTCCGTCACGCGTGGTACCCCCAAAATGGTGGCGTCGCCTAGCCAGGACCCTCCCACCAATTCGCCGATAACTGTCCACGTGAGGAGTCTCGTTCGGACACCCGAAGAAAGTGGTCGTGGCCGTCAAAAATACCGTGAACCAGTTTTGATCACTATAGAACGTCGGCGCTTATTTGTCTATTCGTTTTACTTTTAACCGCTTAATCAGCCGAGTGATTTCCTTAACTCCGAGTGACGGCGAAAGTTTTTACAAATTGCGTGACAGGCTCGTATTTTTCTTAAATGTTCGTAGTGTGTGCTAAGTTCAGCCCCAGTTTTTCTCTGTGTAACACCCGACTGTTTTACTATGTGACAATACACCTTAAAAAAGGTGAGTGACATTATTTTATCTTTTTTTAGCACTCAACTATAAACGATAAATTGATAAAATCAACCGAAATTACGCATTTAATATCGAGCTTTCATTATTGTATTATGTATACGTAAACTAACCATCTCTTTTAAATCTTTCTAACTGAACGTTTTAGTTTGTAATATCTTGTAATACAAGTATCTAACTACGTACTAACGTAAAAAATCACTCGTAACAGTTTCGTTTTTTATATTGTCTATTAAGTCTGTCGATTTGTTATTAAAACTTGGAGTTTTATTGTCATGATTTTCATCATTTTAGACTGACAGCCTGAGACTGAGAAACTCATAATATAATTAAATACAGAAATATTTTGTATCTAAGGTTAGAATCATCAAACATGACAGCCATGATCCAAGTTACTTAACGTATTAAATAAACTTTCATCAATGTGTGAAACAATTTCTAGGTCAAATTTTATAGTTTTTTTAACGATCATAAAATTGGAGCTTACCAATTTCATCCATAGAGGAGAGATTAATTTAATATGTACTTAATTACCACAAGTATAAATATTCCTAAGCTATTTTAATAGGTAGCATTGTTTTATTACACTAGAAATTTGGTTATGATTTTGTTTTTTAGTTAACATATGTTAGAATGTATTATTTTTGAAAGGTATTTTTTATGATATTTTGTAAAAAAACGTCTGTGTAACCAAAACAAACCGGTTACAAAAAACTTTTCTAAGACTTAAAAAAACATCATTGCTAATTAATACATTTAACTATTATTATATCAAAAACACTTTTAGCCCTACATCATTTCTAGGCAAGTTGGTTGGTTACCAAACTCTTAATCTCAGTACAGCATTATCCAGTAGTCGAAAGTAAATTCATCAAAGGGCGGGACGTACGCTCATTGACCAACTCGTCTGTAACGCCATTGTGTAATCGTCTACCTATCAATTAACGCTACAATGGCATAAATAAACAGAGTTATACAATGCGCGCCATTTTCACCGGAACTGTTTGCTATTCTGGATTGATCGCGCGCATACCCGCGTGGTGGTGGGACGCCGTCGGCTTCGCTTTCTACCGAAACGCGGCCGACCGAGAGAATGCTGGCTGACGCAGATACGGAATCTGCAAGCAAATAGCGGAGACACGCGATGACGCTTCTTGTCTGTTCGATTTTCGAAAACTTGATCTTGTCGCTTTTTTTTTAAATAAAAATTGCGTTATGAAATGAACAATCAAAACAAAAGTCAATCAACCAACTCGCATTTTTGGTCCCGTGTGTTTCAGTGAAAACCACAAAATGGTAAATTAATTTGATTGGTATTTATCAGTGTATCACTCCTATGACCGTGTGTGGGTATTGTGTCCGTGGTTTGTCAATTATTTGTCCCGTTTGGGAATCGTAACCGCGGCCGGCGCCGACGATCTAACAGCCAACGAGTCATCACATACCGTATCCGTTAAATGTTAAAGCGATAGATTATTCTTTATAAGTCTTTAGTCATTTAAAACGTACAAAACTTCGTCGAAACAGAGTTTTTGGAAATGCGGGTATCCACGGAGCATACTGTCGTTGTAGAACTAAATGTACACAGAACGAACCGTCACGCTGACCCACTCGCGTAAATGGGCTGTACAAAAACCGTTACCGAAGCGACGACGTGACTCGAACGTAGCGGTCCGCGTGAGTCACAAGTTCCGCATCGACGAGTCAACTCGTGGGTTCATTTAGTGTTGGTACATATAAAGACCCAATTGCGTGCAATGTTCTTACCCAAAATGTGCGGAGAGATATAAATTTTACTGTAATGAAGCAGACACTGCGCGGACACTTTCTGCTTTCGAATGGGTTGCTCTGTTCGGACGAATACATACGATCAATGTCATAAAACAGTCGCGTAAAGAAGAAATGTTTTTACTTTTGCATGGGCTAGCAAACTAAATTAAACATAATCCATTTACGTTAGAATAGCAGGTATACGTTTTTGTACACCGTATGGTGGTCATTAGAGGTCATTACCATGTAAAATCAAAAGATACTTTAGAAGGGATAACCCCATTAAGGTTTGTGACTTCATGAATACTTTCTGTTTTTCTTTCTTCTAAAAATCATTTGCCCTTACTTTAGGATAACAATTAAACTGTGTTTTAAGGACATTTTACAAATACTTACACGTTTACATAAATTTCACTTGAACAAACACCCAGATACGAAACTTACTATATGTGGGACCCGCAAATAGTTGTCCCGTGTGGGGATCGCACCCAAGACCCCCGAAGCCAATGCCTTGGCAAGTGCGCCACGGAGTCTCTTACACTTCATTGCTCTGTGATTTTCCGATTCATTTATAGCGTGTTTTGTTTCCACGATAAAGGTGTCTTGATTAAGGAAATTTTGATGTCTCAATGTTGCAAATGTTGTACGTACATACCGGTAATACGTAGCACATTAGCTAAGCATGTTGATAGTTACTTTTATTTAATGTATAAATAGGTATGCAATTATTATGTGCGCATATTGAATACAAAAAAATACCCGCCACCACGATACGGTTGAGTGATAGTAAATGTCATTGGCATTCAGCCCGTCTTTGTACTTATTTGTGCATTAAGTTTAATTTATAATTAAATAAATCAATTAATAAAGGCCAGCATTTAATTCCATCCATTGCAATATTCCAGAGCGATGAGTGCAATTATGAACGTAGCGGCGGACGTGCTGACTGGCTCCGCAATAGCGGCCGCAGGTACGCAGGTAACTACTAAGAACATCTTCAAATGAAATGTGAATCGCTGTATGTGGAGGTCATTGTTTTAGCCAATAATGGGGAACAATAGTAAACGAGTGTTTGCTATTAATAATAATAGCGCATCACGTGATGTTATCATTCAATATCAAGTCGACCGCTTGCTACCTAACAAACTTCTTATATATAATAATACCAATACAATCAAGTCGTTTGAAGTTACCATCGACTATTCATATAAAAGTTATATTCCATGCGAGAGATGGGAATGTTTGTTTGATTTTCACCAATAATTTATTTGGTAAATACAACAATTACATCCTTCACTATTACAGTAATACACTTGAAACTTATAAAATACAAATACATCTCCCAACTTTCAAATATTTTAATTAAAATTCAAAATACGTGTAGTTTTATGTGAAAATTTGTCAAGCGAGCAATCGGGTGGTTCACCCGATGTTAAATGATTACTCATGGCTTGCTGATGCGCTGATTGATTGCTGACAACCATTAAAAATGTTGGCCCTGGTTACCTCACTCACCAGACGAAACGCGAAAGTTCAATGTGTACTTTCATTTTACGCCAGTCTTCTGTCAGGCCGTGGTACTTCTCCGGACGGGCCTGCACATTCGTGCAACAGCAGAAGCTGTTGCGAGGCCCTACAGTTACGTCACGTCTCAAATTGGCTTGAAGTAACGTGCGATATAGTAAAAAAAACTATCATCGGTCAATAAATATCCGTGAATGCTAACGTTAGCTCGCTATACGGACTTAGTACAGTCCAGAAAAGATTTATGGTCCGAAGGGAATTTTGATCGTCGCAGTAGAATATCCTGCTGGCGTTTCGACCGGCATTAAATGCCGGCACTTGACGAGTGATATTCTATCTAGTTCAGCCCGTTGCCCCTTAATCCCCGAACATTTAAAAAGATTCTCCGAAATTCTCAGGTCGCCTGGTTCATACCGATGCTGGTGGCGGCGATAGCTTACTACCAGTACGACCAGACCGACCCAGAGGGCAGGCCTGCGAATGTAGACAGCACGCGTCTTCTGCCCGAATACGACTTCGTCATCGTGGGAGCTGGGTCTGCCGGTCAGTAAGTATTGAGATGAAATGGGCCGTTGAGTTTTTACCAACTGAGCCATAGTAGACAATTCCTCCAAAGTTTACAGACTTCTACTGTGAAACAAGGTTTATTACTTATATCTTTATAGTTCGTTAGGTGGGCTAGTACGCAAAGACTAGAAGATTCTCGTCTAGTTCTAGTTTCACGGTGATAGGGCTACGGAACACTCTCTACTGTTGCACGAATGGGCAGGGGTCCGCCAGGGTAAATACCACGCCCTAACAGAAGACCGGCGTGAAGTGAATGTGTTATACTCCTGCGTTCGTCTGGAGAGTGAGGTACCCGGGGCCCACTTTATTATTAGGTGCCAACACATTTGCAACCCTACGGGTGTTGCAAATGTCCATGAGTGGCGGTTGTCACATAACTACAGGTGAATCGCCAAGTCGCTTGCCGCGCGTCGCAAGTCGCGAATAAAAAATATATCATTATACATTGTTTAATAAGCACACACTGTTTTCTCATGTCAACCCTAATAGAATAATAACAACACTGATTATAAACTGATTTAAGTGTGCATTATTTATCCTGCAACGTGAGCAACATTTTAAAACGGTTTTGTTGATAATCTACTGGAAATATTTCAATCAGCATTATTGCATGTTTCATGTAGAAGTAAGATAATGATATTATGTATTAAAAAATCCAGAACTGTTTTACTAGTCCGAATTATTATTCAAACCATTTTATTTAATAATTTTAAGAATTGAATGTAAGCTGTACTACTACAATACAATACATATACACTGAGCTTATGAATTATTATTGTAAGTAAATGAATTGATTTATTTTAACTTAACCTTTTTTTAACTTCATTTTAGGTGCCGTGGTGGCAAATAGACTTTCGGAAATTGGTCATTGGAAAATACTCCTCCTGGAAGCTGGTGGAGATGAGACAGAGATATCGGATGTACCGCTCCTGGCTGGATATTTGCAGCTGAGTAAACTGGACTGGAAGTACAAAACTGAACCACAAGGCACTTCTTGTTTGGGTTCGTACTGTATAAAACAGTATCTATATGATTTCTTCAACAAGAAAGTTACATACATTACGCTATCTCTAAAGTAGAAAACGATAAAGTTATGAAAAAAAAAACAATAATCTGAATCATAAATATCATTAAAATTTAATCTTAAGCGCAGAGATTAGCACTATGAAAATTTAAAATTCATAAATATCATTTAAATTTTTCAGCAATGGAAGGCGGGAGGTGCAACTGGCCTCGCGGAAAGGTCCTAGGCGGTAGTTCAGTCCTCAACTACATGCTATATTTACGTGGTAACAGAAAGGACTATGATATCTGGGAGTCGATGGGAAACAAAGGCTGGGGATACAAAGACGTTCTGTACTATTTCAAGAAGTCCGAACACAACCAAAACCCGTATCTGGCCCAGACCCCTTACCACAGCACCGGCGGCTACCTGACCGTTGCCGAAGCACCGTACCACACTCCGCTTGTGTCCAGTTTCATCGAGGGCGGCTTAGAGATGGGATACGTTAATCGGGACGTAAACGGCGAGAACCAGACTGGCTTCATGGTAGCCCAGGGCACCATTCGCCGAGGCAGCCGATGCTCGACGGCCAAAGCGTTTCTTCGTCCAGCGAAGGATCGCAGCAATTTGCATATAGCAATGCACTCTTTCGTCACAAAGGTGCTAATAGATCCGAGAACGAAGATCGCTTTCGGGGTTGAATTCGTTCGCGATAAAATGGTGCACCGAGTCAGGGCGCGGAAGGAAGTTATCCTGTCCGCCGGCACGGTGAACTCCGCGCAACTATTGATGCTTTCTGGAATAGGGCCCGCTGAGGAGTTAAAGAAACATCGAATACCTTTAATACAAAACCTGAGAGTCGGGAGGAATCTTCAGGACCACATTGGACTCGGCGGGTTGGCCTTTATGGTGAACAAGAAGATATCTATAGTAGAGCACAGACTGCATACAGTTAGCACTCTTATGGAGTACGCGGTTCTCGGCGAAGGGCCGTTAACTATCATGGGCGGTGTCGAAGGTTTGGCCTTCGTCAACACAAAGTACGTGAACGCGTCTGACGATTTTCCGGACATAGAGTTCCATTTCATATCGGGCTCGACGAACTCCGACGGCGGGGAGCAGCTGCGCAAAGTTCACGGCCTCACCGACGAGTTCTACGACGCCGTTTTTCGTCCGATAAACAACATGGACGTGTGGAGCATAATACCGATGCTGCTCAGGCCGAAGAGTAAGGGATTCATACAGCTTCGGAGCGCGAGCCCTTACGATTACCCATACATATACCCGAACTATCTGTCCGACGAGAGGGACGTTAAGACGTTAGTGGAAGGCGTCAAGATTGCCGTTGCCCTATCCAGGACCAAAGCATTCCAGCGTCACGGCTCCGTCCTCAACCAGCACGTGTTCCCTGCGTGCTCGAATATACAACGTTACACCGATGCCTTCTGGGAGTGTATGATAAGGCAGTACACTTGCACGATTTACCATCCGGTGGGCACCGCGAAGATGGGCCCTTACTGGGACCCCGAGGCCGTTGTGGATCACGAGTTGAGGGTGTACGGAGTAAAAGGTCTACGCGTTATAGATGGTAGCATCATGCCTAATTTAGTTAGCGGCAACACCAACGCTCCGATCATCATGATCGGGGAGAAAGGTAGCGATATGATTAAGGAGTTTTGGCTGCGCCGAAGAATGTCCAGATATTACGCGTGATTATTTTTTTATTAATGTTCAAAATCCTTTAGTCGCCAACAGTATTATAAAATGATATCATCTGTGTAAATAATTTAATGATTGTGTAATTTATTTATTTATGTTAAATTAAATGTAAGCTATTTCATAATTCCTATTCTATCGATTTAATCGAATAAAACATTGTAAAATTAACACGTGTGTTTCTTCTTTTCATAGAGTTCCATCCATTGATCAAGTTAAAGTACGTCATGTCACGTGTCCATACATAACACTGAAAGAGATCCGAAAGGAACTGTTTATTTGCTGACGACAATAAAATAAAACGTAACCACAGAGTAATAGAGTAATCATGGCACTATATTTATTTTATTATTTTAAAAAAAATTATATTGACTTAAGCGCTTATTAAATGATAACCTTTACCTTTCTATTGTTAAAATGTACTGTCAATTAAGATTCTAAAATTTATTTATAACATTTTATTGCTATTTTCCTGCTGAAATTTGAACAGTCGAATTATTTACACAAAGCAAATAACTTAGGATAAAGTGAAGCTCAAAATTTTAGAGCAAGGTACTATGTTGAACATAATATCTTAAAAATATACTCTATAAAAAATCAGAATAAAAACAGTAACTGTGTAAAACATAATAAATATAAGTGGTTTTGAATTTAAAGATAATTTGTATGCGAAAACTATCTAAGTTTGCACGGACAATATTTTAAAAAACTCACTGTTTCCTAACTTTTTATTTCCTGTAGCGAGTTATCAAGTTATCCGTAGGCTTTTTGAGGAGTACAGCACATGTAAAATGGGGTTTGCAAGTTGTTAAACATCTTTTATTTTTCTATTAACTTAAAAATGTTAATCTCCAACTTATTATCTTTTTTTAAATAGGCTTTAAAATTAATTCGCAGGATTTCAGCTGCTAATATCCAAACAATTTATGTTAATATATATTTATAAATAAAACCATTCAAGTGCTTTACACATTTACGTTAGTCTGTGCAATAAAAAGTAGAACTTGACCCGAGCAAACAATACCACTATACGTGCACCGTAAAAATCCGCTGACTCGCAATCCATTCAATTCGCCGTCATATTAATTGCGGGTCTAATCCGGTCGGACGTATTTCTTAATGGGCGGGAGGTCATGTCAGGTCACGGGTCGTTTTCGCTCAAGGCCGCGCTGTCGAGCACCAGAATTTTGTTCGGTCTCCTGCCCGGCCTGGGGGCCATGATATTGCTGCGAATGGCCGTACACCTGTACAGGCCCGACATCGAAGACTCGGACCATCGTGTCGCCGACCGACCTCTGGAGGGCCTCTACGAGTGCTACGACTTCGTGATCATCGGCGCCGGCTCTGCGGGCGCGGTGGTCGCCAACCGGCTCTCTGAGAACCCCGAATGGAACGTACTTCTACTGGAGGCCGGTCAAGACGAGAACGTGCTTGCGGACATCCCCTCGTTGTTCCCCGTGCTGCAAACCTCGTCGATCGACTGGCAGTTCGCCACCGAACCGAGCGAGGAGTATTGCCTGAGCATGGTGGACACTAGATGCAAGTGGCCGCGTGGCAAAGTCCTCGGCGGCTCTAGTGTCCTGAACGCGATGCTGTACATAAGGGGCAACAAGCGTGACTACGACGACTGGGCGAGGGCGGGCAACGTTGGGTGGTCGTTCGACGAGGTGTTCAAATATTTCCTCAAGTCCGAGGACATGCGAATACCGGAATACCAAAACGATCCCTATCACGCTGTCGGGGGGCCCATGTCCGTCGAGCATTTTGCTTTCGAGCAGCCCATCACGGCTAAAATTCTGGAAGCTTCGCGGCAGCTTGGATACAGTACGATCGACGTCAACGGCGCAACACAGGCCGGGTTCACCCGATCTCATGCCACGTTACGGGAGGGTCTTCGATGCAGCACCGAAAAAGGCTATCTTAGACCAGCCGCTAGGAGGGCCAACCTTCATGTAAGCGTTCGCTCGCTCGTGGAGAAAGTACTAATCGATGAGAAGAAAACGGCGTACGGTGTAAAATTCACGAAGAACGGACAAACTAAAATTATAAAAGCTAGTAGGGAGATTATTTTATCGGCTGGTGCCATCCAGTCACCACAGTTGCTTATGCTTTCGGGTATCGGTGATAGCGAACATTTAAAGGAGGTCGGCATCTATCCGATAGTGAACTTGCCAGGCGTCGGTCTAAACCTTCAAGACCACGTCGCTATGGGTGGCCACTCCTTTCTCTTCGACAATCCATACGAGAACGGGACGGACTTCTCTTTCAACCTCAACACGGTATGGTCTTTGGGGAACCTGATCGATTTCGTCGTGAACAAACAGGGGTCTTTATATAGCATGATGGAGGCTGAGGCGATGGCCTTCGTAAACACAAAGTATCAAGATCCCACGGAGGACTATCCTGACATACAGCTGTTTATTGCCCCCACTGCGGACAATATGGATGGGGGCCTATTCGGTAAACGTGCGAACGGACTGACAGACGAAACGTACGCAGAGCTATATGAAGACATCCTGTTCGAACCCTCTTTCTCAATAGTCCCCCTGCTTTTAAGACCCAAAAGCCGTGGCTACGTTAAATTAAAAGACAGCAACCCTTTCACGCCGCCTCGGATATATCCTAACTACTTTCAAGACCCTACAGACATAAAAGTATTGGTAAATAAACACGTTTCGTTCAAATATTTTTGCTGATATGTATATAGGTGTATAGAAGTTTTTTTTAATGTGAAACGTTCCCAAGCGAGCAGGCGGTTTACCTGATGTTATGTGAATAATAAGTGCGGCGGCACATGGATGTCAGCTACACCCGAGGGTTGCAGATGTGTTGACAAACTTTTGAAAATTGGGCTCCGGCTACCTCACTCACCAGACGAAACGCGAAAGTATACTTCCGCTTGATACTGGTCTTCTGTGTGGTTATGGTACTTGCCTGGAGGAGCCTGCCCATTCGTGCAACAGTCAAGACTGCTGCGTGGCCCTACCACAGTTAAAGTTTTTATATGTAATAAGTTTAAGTTGATATATCAAAGTAGTTTTGTTCGGGTTCGAATCAAACCATAAATTAATTCACATTTACCATGTTTTTCAAAACAATATAGCACTATATTATGTAAATGAAACAAAAAAAATTATTACTTTTTTTATTTTCAATCGAGTTACACACGCAATGGAATTTTTTCACTTTATAGCAATTAATTCAAAACTACCTTAGGAAATCTTAATGATAAAACGAAGGTAAAAAGTAGTTCTAAGAATGTAACTGCGGTTCTAAGATGCAACTGCACAATGACTTCGTACATCAGAAAAAAACCTTATTATCCTCATTATCACTAACATACAATGATGTTTTACGACTTAGTTAACCGTTTCAATAGTAAAAGTAGAAACACGCCGCAAATACTTTCAATTATAATATAATACTCTCATTAACTCATGATTTTGAATCTTCTTGTATCTTGTATTAACTGATGTTTTTGCTTTAAGTCCCTAGACTATTAAAGCTTCATCTGACGCAGAACCGGTGGGCTAGCCAGAACCCACGGGTTTGGGCCCTCAGCTGTTGGTAGGGCCACGCATGTGCTCATGTGTGCGTTTAACTATGGTGTGTAATTTTGAATCACAAATGCCAAACAGTGAGCCAGTCGCCATTTGCCATCGTCCAACTCATGAAAGGATTGACATGACATTTCAGATAGAAGGGGCCCGGATTGCTCAAGCGCTGGTCGGGCAGCCGGCGCTCCAAGAGTTGAACGCGCGGCCGAACCCCCACAGGAACCCGGGCTGCGCAAAACACGAGCTCATGTCCGACGAGCACCTGGAGTGCCAGGCCCGTCACCACTCGCTGACGATCTACCACCCAGTTGGCACCTGTGCCATGGGCCCTCCAGAGAATCCGTACGCGGTGGTCGATCCGAGATTGAGGGTAAGTTGAACGAAACGATTATACCAAACACGACCGTTACCAATATCTTTGTTTGCCGCAACGATGTTAAAACGAGCATGTGGAGAACACATTACTATACGTTTAAATATTTATCTTGGTTTAAATATTTACATCACGTGTGTCACGTTTATACTTATTTGCTTGCACATTAAGCTAAGCCACCACTGCTTATTAAAATACATTTGTTCATACCCCATAATAGTTAGTCGTGATAGCTCAGTGTCCGGGCGCTCGCTTTTAATTCAATATACTCGAGCAACCTGAGTTCGATTCTCGATGCCAGCATCAATGAAATTGTTAATCTTAAGTGCCAAATTATCACGTGCTCAGCGGTGAAGGAAAACATCGAAAGGTAACTTGCATATTTTCGAAATAATAACAAAAAATACATTTCAAAGATATGTGAAGTCCGCCAATCCGCAGTGGGGCCGCGTGGTGGATTATGCCCTGATACCCTCAGTACAGAGGAGGCCTTTACCCAGAAGTGGGACATGTATAGGCTGATACTTTCATTTTACTTTGCATACCACATGTAACATTCAATGCATGGTATTATACAAGTAATACATAATGTAAGGAGAGCCTATAGAACATTATTTAATAAAATTATTAACTCGTCGATATAAATTTGTAGGTTTACGGCATAAAGGGCTTAAGGGTGGTCGACGGTAGCGTAATGCCAACGATCGTCAGTGGTAACACGAACGCACCAATCATCATGATTGGCGAGAAGGCATCGGACATGATCAAGGAGGACTGGGCGGAAGCCATCGAGGAGTTCACCCAGTGCAACCAGAGCTACAGACAGGCCGATCAGCTGACAAACGACGACGCGCCGGAAAGAATACAACTCTCGCGTAATAGGACCCTCGATCTACTGAACGAGACCTTGGCCCTCTTCCCGGGTCTACCTGAGGGCTTTCTACCACGGGTAAACAGTAAAAATGGCACAAACGGAGCCACATCTTTTCAGGCAACGTCAAAGGGGGGGAAAGCGGGGACGTCACTCCCCAATTCGTACAACTCAATAGGCCAGTTCCACGATGCTCCATCCTACGCAACATGTGACACGGAGCGATTAAATTCCTACAGCCAACGGCCTAGTCCTTATAAAACCCCGTTGTACATCTTTCAACCTATACCATATTACAATGAGAATGCAATGCAAGGACAAATGACACCGTATCCGCGCGCGAACCCATTCGGAGGGTACGCGAAAACTCGTCCAGTACACACGAAAAATATGAAACCACATTACAAACAAACCAGTCTAAGGCCGTTGAAAGGGAAGCCCATATATGATTGGGGAGTTCTTGGCAACAGACACAGGAGTGACGATGCAAAGAGAATGTACTTTGAAACCAAGGAGATCGTTACGTCGAAAGGGCGTAAAGAGTGCAAAATCTGGTTGCATTACAATGGTGTAAACTACGAAATAACAACGTAGCGATATTAAAAGGGACATATCAGAGATAAATAGGAATTTATCGATCCGTGAAGTTGTCAATAATTACGTCCATCTTAAGCGTCACTATTTTAATTAAAAATCATTTTGTTGTATAAAATCTAAAGTTACCGTAGTTCACTTGGTTACTTTTGGGTTATTTATGTTCATCAATTTTATCTAAAAATGACTGTTAGAGAATATATAGATAACAATAGCACGGGAGAGATATATTTTAAATATTCCACCAAAAATTATTACAATAATCAATATTTTTTGGGCTTAGCGTACAAAAGTCAAAAAACGCAATTATATTTTATGGGTGGCAAAAGGCGGATAATTTAAATTTTTTAGGGCAACCCTAGTCCCGAAACCCCCTATAAGGCCACATTACCCGGGGGACTTTCTATGTGAAAAGTTGTCAAGCGAGCAGGCGGTTCACCTGATGTTAAATGAATACGGCCGCCCATGGGCATCTACAATACCTGATGGCCTACTGATGCGTTGACAATCTTAAAAATTGTGGGCCCTGGTTACCGCACTCGCCATAACGCGAAAGTTTAATAGGAAGCATTATACCTTCCTTATTTATCCTTCCTTCCTTCATGTCGGTCTTCTGTGAGTCCGTGGAACGTAGACTAGTGTATAAGAACGCCATCTTGAAAAAGTCGTTCGAATGGCTTTTACGCTATATTGTTCAACTATTGATCATACACAATCTTTGTCAGATCAAAAGAATATTTGTCACAACATTTTTTGTTGCAAATTAAATTCTCTACAGGGTTGGTTTTGTAACTTTTAGTGCAAAAACAAAAAATAAAAAAGTTATATGTGTAAATAGATAAAAATTATTCGCGAAAAATTTTCTTTTGGTCGTTATAACTTTTATACATTTATATTTATACTAGACATTTACATAAAAATAACATAACAGCATTTTGATAGAGGGCTTTGGAAGGAATAATTTTCGTTATAAACTATTCGCTTTTATTCTTTTCTTCTTCTATTATTAACACTGTTCTCCAGTACCTGAAGTACACATTAAAATAAATGACTTGGTACTATACAGTTTTCTTTTTTTTTTATGTGAAAAGTTGCCAAGCGAGCCCATGGACATCTGCTACACCCGAGGGTTCCAGATGCGTTGACAACTTTTGAAAATTGGGCTCCGGCCACCTCACTCACCAGACGAAACGCGAAAGTTTATAATTTAATTATACTTCCACTTTACGCCGGTCTTCTGTGAGGTCCTGGTACTTCCCCGGACGGACCTGCCCATTCGTGCAACAGCCGAAGCTGCTGCGTGGCCCTACCACCGTAAAATTTCGCTCATCTCTCCATTATTTTTATGAGAAACATTTTAATGATTGATAATAAAATATTGTTACGGGTCAAAGTTCACGTAACTCATTTAGGTTTACATATCAAAAGAGACATGATATCTTTGTACTAGGACGAAGCATATACATACTACTGAAGCATCTCGATCCAAATCACGTTACCGGTACGGCTCGTACAAAAGATAAATGCGCCCGGATGAATCCTGCACACGCACCGATGAATGCAAAGTTCAGTTAACTCTTCTTTAATATCAAATGTCGAGAAGAGTCGACGTCGTCATGAAATTAAACTTCGAAAAGATTGACAATATCTAAGCAAAAAAATGTGTGTACATAATATGTACACACGTAAACAGTTATACTTCTTGAGCGTAACAAAAGAAAAAAACTAAATAGTTTATCTCGTGTCAATACTCTATGTTTGTATAGAAAAACATTAAATGCAATTGATTAATACATTAATTAAATAACTTCGAATTATTATAATTAAATATCATGTTATAAGCAACCAATAACTTAAGTTGTTATTGGTTGCCATGGTAATATCGTGAAGTTGGTCGCTTTGCAATCCCATACTGTCGTCTTTTGACTATATGTGCGCGCGCATCGTAAAAATTTTACTCTAACATTTTTACGCCCCCAAAGAAGCATAACTTAAAAACGTCAAGACTATACATGTATAAGATAGAGATAGAGATATAGATAAGGATAAAGACAAAAGCTGGCTAATATCCCGTTGTTGAATTGTACCAACTTCAATGCCAATCCAACGCGACAAGGCTAGAAGGGGATAAGGTCATCTTCGCTGGGGTCATCTGTATCATGAAAAGTTCAGCTAAGTATTTAAATGTTTTTTATCGACTCTCCGAATGTTTAGTAAATTTGAGAACCTGCACATAAAAAATTATAGCGATTATACAAACATACGCAAATACGTGATACTGCACATACTGATGCATTATGCTCGTCTGTTAAGGAGTATTTCGTGAAGAAACATGCATGTCTGAAATGGACGCCTCGGTATTTTATGCATGTGTTCTAAAAGTTATATTGTAGAGGAATTTCGAGAGTACTCACTATCCTGTAACAAAAGGAATCCTATTCATGTCAACTTATTTATACAAATATGGTAATCGCAACCTATGTTGTCAGTTGATCTGAAAGAACAAGTTCATTCATGTAACAATTTTTTATCACAATTTATAATAAAGAAACTAGCGACCCGCCCCGGCTTCGGACGGGTGCAATGTATGAAACATATAAACCTTCCTCTTGAATCACACTCTATCTAGTAAAAAAACTGCATCAAGATCCATTGTGTAGTTTTAAAAATCTAAGCATACATTGGGACAGACAGACAGGGGGATGATTTTGTATTTACCATAGTAGACTATGACTATGGTATGATACAAACATGCTAGACATTATATTTTTAATTGCGAAACGCGATATAATCCGTAAAGTAGTTTCATTTAATATAAATTCAAAAATGTTAATTAGTAATAAAAAAAAATTTTTGGGTCGTATTCTTGGAAATAATAACAATATTTAGAAGCCAAAACGTACATCATTAATAATTCTAAAAGATAATAATTACAATTTAGATCTCAATTATTTCAACCTCTTGCATAACGCTTTTATCGCTTTTTTGCTCATAATTGAAAATATATATATATATATATATATATAAGCGTGGCCGTCACTCGGGTTCAGTGCTTTATCCCCATTCCAAAGGCGCCCAACGTGCCAAAAAAGTGATAAGACTAGATATATTTTAAATTTAAACATTTTTCGCTTACAAGTTGGACACGGTGACATTGAGTTTTTACGAATTCCGAGTGGATTAAGCGGGATCTAACATTTTTTTATGTGAGAAGTTGGCATACGAACAGGCAATTCGGCATATCGTAATCGAAATCGTAATCGATTTACGTCGTTTCCCCGTGGACATCCAACAACAGTTACAGGTAGAATCTCATGTGCTTGTCAAACTTTAAAACAGTGGGGCCTGTTCCCGTATTCGCAAGAAGAAAGGTGAAATTATATTACTTCATATTTACTGTTACGAATGTTAATGTATACGTATTTATATTACAAATATAGAGATCCGCGTTGCGCATGTGGTGTCATTTGGCCACTAACAAGGGGCAAGTGTGTAGAATGAATAGGCTGATACTCGCAAATAATTAATTGAAACTGTAATGGTAGAACATACGTTATGAAACGATAAAAATATGATGAGCAATTGACATCGTTGTAAGATGCAAAAACATGAGTAATTAATTTATTCATACACAGACCGTATACTATACCTGTATGCAAAGGGTTCATAGCCATGTCGATTTACATACAATGTTTCCAAAATTATTGTGACATAGATATACGAGTATCAAAAAGTTTATTAACATCTCATTTAAAATATATGAATAATTAAACGAGGTTTAATACTTTGGAAATGTTGTTAAGTGAAAACTATTTGAAAAAGCTTAACATAATGCATATGCAAGGTATTTTATATAGATATCGTAAATACTTACTACCCACAAACATAGCTAGAAAAACTGTCGCAAATACTCGACATTGTATTTTGAATGTATGTTAATTAAATATATGTATGATTACTTCTCGACTCAGAACAAAAATATCGCGAGCGTTTACACAATCCAAAATTTCATTGCAATCGATTAATAAACAGAACTGAATATGCGATAAAAGAAAAAACATATATTTTCTTCATTAAATAATTCGTGTACCCAGTTGAGAAAGGCAAATAACTTAATTTTTCAAATTAGCAAAAAAAGATATTAATTTTATAAATTTAATATACATAGGAGAGTTAACCAAGAAACGTTCATAACATTATTCGGATAGTTTATAAAAGCGTTTTATTCATGTTTATTGTGGTATATAAACACATTTACATACAAGAAAACATCATTACATATAATTACAGCATAGTTCACAAATACGTATCATTCTTTCTCAAAATCATTAAAACATTAATGCAATAAGCTATTACTATTTACTTTCCGTTAACATCCTACGTATATTCCTTCTAGAGTTCGTCTTCGAAGCCACCTGATGGTAAGCGATCGTCTTTGACCACCAGTTTATTGGAATTACCAAGAGAACAAACTAAGAGGTGGATTCGCAAGAGCACGATATAAGGATTACTGAATATAACACACTGTGTACAGTTAAACATGCATGCCATTATTTAAAGCGGAATTTCGCTCTCCGGTAGCCAGTGCGTTGCCGAGTGGGGCGCTGCATGCATGAACGGTGTTCGCTATAAGAAATAATTGCAACCGAGATTCCACGAGACAGACAAGCGGCGTGCTTACTGTGATTTTCCGTGAGTGAGGTGTCTTGTTGATGTGCCATTTTAGTCCGTTCTCGATGGTCCTCAGACTTATTCCTTAACATGGAATCCTTATTTCTTGATCACGGAACCCAAATGGATTGACTTCTGTAACTTCGTCCTGGTAATTCACTGAACATCACATCAAATTATTTTATAGAATTTATCCGACAGGCGCAGGCATTATTTATTAGAATTGTTATCTTATGGCGCACGTTACAAGAAATGTTATTCTTATACAAGCTGTTGAACAACTTATTTGGTAACCCAGAGTTACTTAGTCGTTTTTCCCTCGACATTCCTTCCCGCTTGCCGCGCCAACCAAAATCTATCCTCACTCATAATACATACAAATCTAACTTGGGCCACCATTCAATAATTCTTAGATTGTGCAGACTTTTAATTTTTTTTTTACAAATAAAGATAGTTCAATAAATATTTTTCACGACAAATTATCAGTATTCAAATAGAAAATCGTCAGGGTATTGAATCCAATTAGCGCCGTAGACGTCTAACATTTAGTCTTATTTGTACATATCTATGTCGCGTCAGTTTTATAATATGTAATGGTTTTGATATTCATTGTAAGTAGCATTGTAGCGTTATAGTTACGTAAATGTTTCTTAGTTTTTCTTTTATTGGCCCCAAATAAAATTTAAGCACCTATACTCTGTGAATGCAGTGTTCGTCTGTGTTCTTGTATCTAAATATAATTTCCAAAATACATGATTTACCAAAAAAACCAAACCGAGCAAAGCACCTATATAGTCTGTGATTGCAGTAGTCGTCTGTAATTGAAATTGTATGTTGTTCTTTACCTGAGTTTACATTAATCTTATATGCTATTTGTAAAATATAATTTTATAGATAGACCTCATTAAATATATAAATAAATTCTTACTGCGGGTCCTTTGGCTCAACGGTAGTTCAGGCATCAATTAAACTTTAGATAATTTACATTCGTTCATCCAAGAATTTATGAAAGCGTTGCATCCACACAGTAATAAAACATAATTTATACGAATCTATAAATGTTCAGATCGAAAACTATCGTCCATGGTTGGTAGAGACATATCATTTCGTATTAAAACTTCTAGTAGTTACCAATTGGTCGCAAATCGACCGTAATTTGTTAAATTTTTTATTTGATGTATTACTAACTTCCCAGACCCATTTAGGAAAACTGACATATTCAAATTATTTGGTGATTCTTTGTTCCTTACTCTGGACTACTCTATAATATTATATGGTCATGTCATTATATGTCATTATGAAAGTAAACAATTAAGGCTTTAATTTATTTAACTCTATGTTATGTACAAAAAAATATATGTGAAATGAGTTACTGTATATAATTTTTAGCTTTGCACTTCTTCTACACATAAACTTTAACTATGCCAAATCTCAGACTCCTCCGTGCTCAAAAGAAGAGATCCAAAGTTTTCGCTTAACAAATTAATGTAGTGATACTTAAGGATAGTACTATCGCTCTGAGTTTATATTGTCACCAGGGGTTAAAAAGTTAATAGCATTCATAGCAGTATTCCATGTAATAATAATGCAAATGTTATAATCGGACGAATGTATATATTATAATTGCGATATCTTATCAAATACGTAAAGTAAGGAAACTAGGTTCTACATAACAATGATAAGTCTAGTAAAACTTTATCCTTGAAACCTAATCACGCCTTTAATTACTTTTAAAAAATGGCCAATCATTATAAAGATAATTACAAAGTTTTTATTTCTAATTTTACTATTATCTGCGGTTTCCCTTTACCGACTTGTCAGGGTTAGTGGCCAAAAACTAAATTTGTTTTATTTCATCCGCTGATCATCATATGACCTATCAAAAAAAAATCACGTCGACCCATTGATCCGTTGCTGTGCGTTAAAGTAACAGTCACATCAGTTTTAAGTGAATGAACACCAGATCATAGTAGCAATGATACAAAAGCTAACCACTTTCTCGCCAACCTTACAGAGAGAACACCAGCAGAAGACAGAGAGATTGTGGCAGCAGCTTTAGCAGCGTGTGAACATGTGGGCTTGCGATCCGGCGACCACGGCAGAAATCGTGAACAGTTACAATGCGGCCGGGCCCCTGTTCGTGCAGACCCTGCAGAGCTTCCTCGCAGCACAGTGCGCCCTGGCCGGTGACCACTTGTGGCCGCGTGACATGACGGCCGCCGCTATCGAAGGTTCGAGCTTAACACACAACCATGAATTTGATATATGGTTCATTTTAATAGTCAAAGATTCAGAGTAAATTATCCGAAATAAATGTCCATACACATCAAAATTAAATTTTCATATCTATTCCAATTTTCATGTCTTAGTCAAGATTAGAATATGTGTGCCACTCAAAGTTTTTCAAACTGAAACAAGGGCTAATCTTAAAGTTTTCATTAGCTTTCCACACAAAACGTAGAAAGTTATACTCATTTAGTGCCTGAAATGATGTTTGAAAATAAAAATCCTAGTTCGCGTCTTCTAGGGTTTGCTCTAAGCCTAATAGCGCATCTTTCAGCGAAGAAAAAAATCCCTCAGAGATAACGTAATTTTTTTTATATTATAATAAACTCATTTTTATGGTAATTGTGTGGGAATGTTGTCACACTGAGAGCAGTAGCCCTCGGAGCTCCGTGTCCTGTCTCTCATACAAAAAACGTATGTTACGATCGAGAACTTCCTATCGTCGATCTTAAGATGCTTCGATTTTGCTTAGCTAATTAGTTGACTCTGGTAACAAAAATTAAAGAGCCTTAGCTTTTGCGTCCCCTGGAATAACTTCGACCGGTGGAAGAATTGTTCATTCCGCTTTAATGTAACCAACATTTCCAAAACATCAAGCATTGGAAAAGTGCTGTAGAAATACAAACTAATTATTGGGCATGAATGCACAATCCACACAAAAAATCACTATTGGCTCTCGATCAATCATTGAAAGATTTTCTATAGAAGATTGAGGCAAACATTACTTGTAATGCCTGAAAACGTCCAAAATAAACACTTTTCTATATTTCCATACAAAAGATTCGTAATAATACTTAATAGTCAATTTGAACTTTAATACCATACCATACATAAAGTTTAAATGTTAGTGGAGGGGTTCTGGGAAGGCAAAACAATTGAGTTAGGTTAGTATCGTATAAATATTAATGATTTTTTAATGTATAATAATTAATATGTATAATACATTGCTACCGTGCAATGTATTATACATATAAATATATATATGGATCAGTTTGCTATTGTCGCAAAATTCAAGAACGTTTTTTCTTGTACAAAATAACAACATAATTGTGAAATAAATATTCCCGATATCCTTTAAAACATTCACACGAACCACTTGTAAAAAGATTTTATGCGCCGACTGTAAACACTAATGCAGACATAGAGATTATCTGCTTTGCTGACCTTAGAACATGCAACGCATGTATAATTGCCCATATACATTATATTATAATATACATTATATTTCATTGAGTGAAAATATCTGTTGGAATCATATGTACTCGAAGAATAAGAAAATCATCACAGCGCCTTTGATATTTTTTTGTTGCAAGCTACGTACCATTGCAAAGATTTGCCTAGTTGATATTAAACAACATAAATATTAGCGAGCCTATTTGCACTTTCTGTTTCCGATTTCCAAGTCGGAGTTTAAAAGACAAATTGTTAAAAGTGATTTTTTTTTCTTTATTCAGATCCCAACTACGACTTTATTGTAGTCGGTGCCGGTTCTGCGGGTTCAGTGGTCGCAAACCGGCTAAGCGAAGTACCGAATTGGAAGGTCTTACTCATTGAAGCTGGTGGAGACCCTGATATTGGTACAGAGGTATTGTTAATCTTAGAGAAAATTAATTCGAGTTTTGTGATATTCCTCGTTTATATGAGATAAAAGTGATTCTATCATTAGAATACCAATATCACTTATATATAAAACCGGCAAATAGCATTTAATTGCATTCATCTTGATTGATTTCCAATAACGTTGGATACGCTTCGTCTATTTTTATGGTTTACGGGGAAAACGGGATACGATAAATAAATACATTATTGAAAAGTACTTTTAACTTATGACAATTAAATAATCAAAGTAGTCATTTTAGATCCAGTTTCGATTGACTTTTCATAATATAACGTTGATGGAAACTTCAGAATTTATCACCATTATCATCAAGGATACATTTTGAAACCAAGTCTTTTCCAGATAAAGACAGTAGAATAATAAAGTTTGTAGTTGTTCACTTATTAACAATTATAAAACTTATGGGCTATAATAACTCATTGTTGAGATAATTAAATTCTACATTATCAAAACGAATTGCCGTCTTTGTCAATGAGACAAAACTTAAACATAACGTAAATTCGATTTACTTACTGTTACAGATTCCTCAACTTTTCTATAATAACATCGATACTAAAACGGATTGGTCTTATAAGATACAACCACAAGAATCAGCATGCAGAGGAAACAATGAGAATCGTTGTGCATGGCCGCGTGGAAAAGTTCTAGGAGGCTGTAGTAGTATTAATGCTATGTTTTATGTAAGAGGGAACAAATTAGACTACGACGAATGGGCAGCCAGTGGTAATTACGGATGGAGTTACGACGAGGTATTGCCTTATTTCAAAAAAAGCGAAAATTACTCTGGAATTCTAACGGAAGAAACTGCGAAATATCATAGCAAAAACGGCTATTTGAACGTACAAAAATTAGGATCAGATCATATATTTGAGGAGATGTTGATAAAGGCCGTCAGCGAATTGGGGGTAAAAGCACTCGACGATGTTAACGGACCAACTCAAATGGGTGTAACTAGAGCATATACAACAATAAAGGATGGTAAACGGCATAGTACAGCAAGAGCGTTTTTAAGTGTTATTAAGGATAGAAAAAATTTGCATGTGATGAAAAACGCTTTAGTAGCAAAAATCTTGTTCCATCCTAAGTCAAGCAAAGTAAGCGGTGTTTTGATTCAAAAGGATGGAAAAGAAATAACTGTTCATGCAAGGAAAGAAGTGATTGTATCAGCCGGAGTCATCAACACTCCTCAACTCCTCATCCTGTCTGGTATCGGGCCAAGGTGGCACTTAGAGGATCACAATATTGATGTAAAAGTAGATCTTCCCGTCGGTGAAAACCTACAAGATCATGTATTTTTTCCCATTTACTTTAGCGCGCCGGCAAAGGGAGAATATAATACGTTATCTAGTATAACAACAGAGTTTATGGAATATATGTTGACTAATCAAGGTATTTTTTCGGATATAAGCCCTCACAAAATTATTGCGTTTGTTAACTCAACGGATCCAACAGCCGTAAGTCCTGAAGTTCAACATCATTATTTAGTATTTCCACCTCGATTAGCCAATTTAGTTGACGTATATACTAAGCATAATATAAAAGAAGATATCCACAAAAAATTTCAAGAGATGAATGAAAATAATTTTATATTTATGGTATACAACACTTTATTGAAACCTAAATCTAAAGGCAGGATTCTTCTTAAGAGTATAGATCCAAATGATCAACCTTTAATATTTCCAAATTATTATGCAGATCCAGACGACATCCAAGTGCTCTTAAGAAACGCAAAAAAATTTGTCTTGCCATTACATACAACGAAAACATTTGAAAAAGGTGGATTTAAATTGAATTGGCTAGATTTGGAGGCATGCAGAAAGTTCGACAACAGATCTGATGAATTTCTGATATGCATCGCTCGCGAACTAACATTTTCACTATATCATCCAGTCGGTACTGCCAAGATGGGCCCCAAGGATGACGAGACAGCTGTTGTAGACCCAGAGCTGAAGGTACGAGGAGTACAAGGGTTGAGAGTAATTGATGGTAGTATAATGCCGAGCATCGTCAGTGGAAACACTAACGCTCCTATAATAATGATTGGAGAAAAGGGCGCAAGTTTGATAAAGAAATTTTGGCTAAACGAGCACACGGAATTATAACTGATTTTTTTATGAAATGTTAAATATACATTATGATTTATTTGTTATTATTTATTTATTTATTGTAGATTTAAAATTAAGATGTTTTTATTTATTGTAAATTTAACTACTCAAAAATAAAAGCATGAGTTTTTTTCTTATGTCATTACCGCAGCGTTATTTTACATTACAACTATCATTTAGGAGAATCATTGACATAACCACTATATGATAAGGCATAATCTGTATTATTAAGTCTGAAATTGACCTTATATTAAGCGATAACAATATATATTTGGCATTGATACATGTTGAAAAAAGAGCAGTTACATTATAGCAAAAGCAAATCAATAACATATGAGTATCTTATAACGTTCAATATATTTAAAAAGTACATTGTCTTCGTGTATGCGGGTGCACACCATACAAGAAAAAAAAAATTGCGTACCGTCATCTAAGCAAACATTCCCGTTACACGTTAATTGTTAATAATAATTACATCAACTTTAACTCTTTCTTATATTAATTAGTATTTTCTTGTATTTATTGATTTCAGCGCCATCTATTGGTGTTTTGGTTATCATTTAAGCAGTATCATCCAATCATTATTTCTTTTACCGTGAATGGCGATGAAAACACTAAGAAATAGTTTTACGTACAAATGTTTCGTGCCTTTCGACGCATGCTTGTAAACACGTCTCTGCAGTCCAACCCGTCCGTTTTAAGAAGTAGTCAAAGTATTGCTTAATTGTGGACTAAATGAAAAGAATGAAAAAAACACTGAATGACTGACTAATTTAAACTCAGTTCTTGCGTCAGATGAAGATTTAATAGTCTCGGGACTGAAAGCAAAAACATCAGTTAATACAGGATACAAGAACTCAGTTCTTGTGCTAGAGCTATACTACTGCGGCACTAGTACTATAATGTTAGAGTAAATTTTTATGTATGGAGTTACGCTTCTTTTGCCGATAAATGTGTTCCGTGCAGATATATATGTCGTTATGATTTATAAACGTTAACTAGTTTACAAATTATTTCTAAAGTAAACAGTTTATAATACGCAAATAACACGACATAACTGTACTTTAAATTTTCGCAAAGAATAGAACCTTAACACCTCGCGGTCTCTTCAAAGGGCACTTATCCAAGTGTAAATTGTTAAGCTTTTTAATCCATAACCTGTCTGAAATCTCGGTGTATGAGGATGTATGAGGCTTACCACTGGCGGTTGTGATCAGAATTCAGTAATCCTTGTGATCCTGTCACCATCCCAAGATATCAATCGAGATACCAATAAAATAGAATATTACTATATTATTTATTACGTGTAAGAAGTATCCTTACTAATATTATAAAGGCGAAAGTTTGTATGTATGGATGGATGTTTGTTACTCTGTCACGCAAATACTGCTGAATGGATTTTAATGAAACTTTACAATAATATAGCTTATACATCAGAATAAGACATAGACTATAATTTATATACATATTTTATGTGTATTTGTATTTCTGTCTGGATGTTACGCCTTCAGCCTATTCTACGCAGGCATAGTCGCGGGCAGCAGCTAGTAAGTTTATAACGCACTGTTCAAAGCGTTAGCTTACCTTATCCACTAATTCCGGTATAACGGTATAATAGGACCCTTCCAATCAATTCTCGACAGGTAAAGGTTATCAAAATTGTATGGAATTTCTACTCTTAAATGAATACATTGTTTGTAGACGTTACAAAGCAAAATCATAAAACTACCAATGCTTTAATTTAAAACACGCATCATTGATATTTTCACTCGATAGGTATCTAAGAATGTTTTTAAAATAACTTATTTATTTGTACGTTTTTAACTGAATTTACGAATATTTATGCTACTTATCTGACGGCCTATACCTACACTTACAAGTTTTATTACAGTGTCGTTCAAGTGAATAGTAAATCAATATCTTGAACGAGTATCATGTGTTAACAGAATCTTTAGAGGTATCTTGTAACAATAACACTGAGTTTAATTCTTAAAGTAGTCGAGGCAGTGTCGAAGTAAGGTGGTGCACTTATTTCGACAAATCTTTGGTAAGTACAATAACACTTAAAAACATTGCAACCGTTAAAAAGCCTATACGCATTCAATTTTGTTAACTTCTTTTTTTAAGGTGTAAAAATTGCAGGCATTTCATTTTTATGTGTAAAGTTAACAAGCGAGTAAGTGGTATCTCACCAGATACTTAACATCAATGTTATCGCTCATGAACATCGGCAACGCCTGTGTGGTAACTTTCAAAAGTTTGGACCCCTCTTACCACCACAGGAAACACAAAAGTATGAATATTCCACTTCACATCTATTTTTTCTTCGAGCATTACATTTTCCGGAAGAGCTTTCCCATTGCCAAAATCGGACACTTAACAAAATCATTCGCACATTTTGTCCACTAGGCAAATATCGTTCAAAATTAGATAAACAACGTCTTATATTTTGCCCTGTGGCAGAAAATAATAAATTTTTAATAAAGACAAACGTTTATCGATTCTAACAACAATTTAAAATCCACACATTTCTTACAAAAATTATAAAATCTAAATCTAAAATCATCTTTAAAAATAGATTAAATAATATATAAGAGAGATTAAGAGCAGAAAACATTATTTATTTACAGAAGTTTCGAACTTTACAATGTCACATTAAATTTAATTAACGTTGTCTTTGTGTTTCTAATGATTTAATTAAACAGTTTAAAAATTTAATAGAATCCTTATCAATCGTTTTATGGCTTGTTCATTAATTTATTAAGAAGATTTTGCAAGAAATTATGGGAAAAATTACAAAAGCAATTAGGGTTCTTTTGAATCATACTGCGATGTGTGACAATGACAACTTGGTTTTATCAAAAAGCAATTTAAAGAAAAGTTCTCTTTGTGTATATTAGGTACTTGAAACCATTAATAGTAGACGGTAATGATTGCTTACTCGTTTGCCCCCTTCTTCTATTAAAAACACACTGAAGGGCCACTGCAGATCAAAATTTTATATAAGAAATATCTTTTCGAGTCGTTGTTGCAGCTCGTGTGATGAGGGAGAAAAAAGGGTGAGGAGAATTGGTTCTTTTCTCGCTCAAAGATTAAGTACTTAACATCATGCCTCGTAGGCTAGGTTTTCATTTTATAAATATTAATATTGTAAATATTAATTGTTCAAACGTAAGATATTATTTAAATAAAAAAAAACTATTAAGGCGCGTAAAAAACTATAAAATAGTTTTAATTTACAAATACGTAAAGCTTTTCACTTCATTCGCAGCATAATACTTCCCCGATGTGGACTTAGACGGTCGCAATGGTTTTATGGGTACCGCGTAGTTACATAAATGTTTCTCGCAGGAAACAGGAAATCTTATGAACATAAAATTAAAGATTACCATGGACACCATAATCAATTATCAAAAAGTGGACCAGTCGTGCGCGAAATTATACCGCCCCATTCAGTAATCTGATCTGCTCGGTACACTGTCTAGAATGTCATGTAACGAATTCCTCCTTCACTATAAACGCAATTATAATAATACACTGTGCATATTAACAAATATAATATTACGCCACAGAAATGGACTTGCTGACCAGCAATATCGCGACAGTCTGCCCTTTGGCCTTTTCCGGCACGGGAGGTGAAATTTTCTTGAGAGCTGTGACGACACTAGTCGCGGCACATTGCTCCATTGTTGATAACGATTGGCCGCTTGATAACAGCGAGGAGGTAATTAAAAAATCCAAAGGTAAGAATGGGACTAACTATAGAACTTTTATTTAACTTTATTTAGCAACGCCGCAATTTCAAAGAAATAATTAAAAAACTAAAACGTCATATCTTGAGGTCATTGAAATTGTTATAAATCGAGGCGAGTTCTTTTCAGGCTGACCCTATTATCTCACGAACTGGTCGAGCCAAATACGCAAGGCACAAGCTTAATCTCTATAAGACGTGCGAACTACTCATAATTTCATACGCTTGCATGTGTTTTGCACACGTTTTCAATTTACAGTGTACAACTAAATAAATCTGCACAGCGACCAGCACTCTGGTATCAGAGCAACTTTGACCTGCATAGCATCATACGATCATTTTAAATATGTTACAAAACGGTTCTGCTAAAGAGACAAAAATCATCGCAAGCCTCATTTACTAAACGCAGCATATTACGCACCGAAGTAGGTAGGGAACAAAAGTATCTCAGACCCATCGGGGATCCAACCAAACTCCACACACACTTCTACACACATTCCACAGCACAAGGTGTTCGCAATGTACGACCGTCATTCGGAGCGGTGTTGCCGCTCTCATCCAATAATTAACACAATAAACGTCAAACGAGGCCACTGTCCGTGTCGAACTCCGATGGCCCGCAGGTGAAAATTTCTCCCTTAGTAGATAAAGTATGCATAACCACATAGGCTCTAACCAACATGCAGGGTCGATATAAGGTATCTGGCAGTTCTAAAATCTCTACTTTCAATAAAATTTTAATCTGAGGAGGTGTAAGATCGAGAACATCATTCAATGAAGGTGATAAAAAACAACGCCTAAAATAAAAATATCGAACTTCAAATGCAATGTTTGCTATATAACAAGGGGCAGGAGTACTTAACAAATGTCAATAATTAATAACAATAGTAAAGACTATTTAATTAAATAATATTGTCGAATATAAATCAGTTAATTAATATTGAAAGCACTGAAATACAAGGTTGATGTTACACTTACAAAATGATTCATAGTTAAATTCGTAATTTCGTAACTTTTTAAAGCATCAAGAAAAAAACTGAAAGATAGAGTCATAAAACACCGAAAGTAGGGATTTTCCTAAAATAATGGACCATATAATAAATAATACGAATCCTTCACGAAAATTAAATAAGTTTACAGAAGAAAGGGAGAAAAAAGCCTTTTTTTTCTACTTTAAAGATGGGTTCAATTTTGTAATTACAAATTTCAGTCGGAGGGTCATATGATTTCATTGTAATTGGGGCTGGTACAGCTGGCTCATTGATAGCTAGTCGACTATCTAATATCTATCCTTCAAAGTCAATACTTCTTGTGGAAGCTGGAGACGATCCTGGAATCGAAAGTGAGGTAAAGTTTTATCATTTAGAATTCTTGATCATTTGATATCTTATCATCATCATTTCAGCCTGTTAGAGTCCACTGCTGATCATAGGCCTCCAAACAGACTGCCACGAAGCATGATCCCAAGCCACCTGCATCCATCGACTTCCCTCACATTTGCACATGTCGTCACTCCATCTGGGAGGTCGTCCCACACTACTATATACATTTCAAACAGGGACGTCGTTTTGTCGGCCGGCTCGATTGGCACATGCACTTTATTGATGCTGTCTGGAATTGGCTAAGAAATCATCTGGCCGAAAACAACATCCCTTGTGTTATAGACCTGCCCGTTGGACAGAACTTGCAGGATCATTTAATAGTTTATATATTAGTTTTTAAATACAGGGAGTATTTAAAAACTAATACAAAGGCGAATGTCTTACCAGAATCGATACAACGTTGATATCTATTGTTACAAACGTTTTTATAGAAATATTAAAACTATTGTTATGGAAATTTCTAATGCCAATTGCAGAGAAGTGGATGTAGCATATGGATGTAGCATATAAAATAGGCCGCTCGTAAATGATTTAATAACTTGCTAATTTTGATGTTGCACTTAAGCCGTTGGAGTTGTAAGTCATCATCATCATCATCATCATCATTTCAGCCTGTTTGTCGCCATTTGAGTCCACTGCTGAACGTAGGTCTCCCCCATAGACTGCAATGAAGTACGATTCTGAGCCACCTGCATCCATCGACTTCCCGCACATTCGCACAGGTCGTCACTCCATCTAGTGGGGGGTCGTCCCACACTGCGATGGCCAATACGAGGCTGCCACTCGAGAACCTTTCTTCCCCAACGGTTATCGGTTCTACGAGCTATATGGCCGGCCCATCGCCACTTCAGCTCGTTAATCCTCTGAGCTATTTATGGAGTTGTAATTGACGAGGCAGAAATTGGGTACCTCTGGGGGCCCCGATCTATGCGAAAGTGGCGTTTGGTGTTGCCGTAACACCAATAAACGAATATATTTTAAGACTATATGGGATCTTTAGTGGGAAAGGACACAGGCTTAAATGCAAAAAGCATAAGCAATAAACATAAGCAGACTGAGCATGTAACATAAATATATAGTATATGTATAGATTTATTACACATCACAAAATATTTTATTCTAAAACTTTTACGTTCCAGGTACCTGCCTTTTTATTTTACAATCAAAACACAATGAACGACTGGAATTATAAAACCGAACCCGACGGGCGGAGTTGTTTGGGTTTCGAAAACAACAGTTGCATTTGGAGCAAAGGGAAAGCTATGGGAGGGTCTGGTTCCATTAATGCCATGATCTACATAAGAGGACATCCAGAAGACTTCGCTGATTGGGGCAAGGGATGGGATTATGACGCGCTTCTACCATATTTTGAGAATCAAGAAGAATATTTAAAAATATCCGATTACATAGGTTTAGCAGATAATCAGTGGTACGAAATCATGGACGAATCGTGGAGAGAACTGCATTTTGCAACGCGTAAATATCAAGATTACGAAGCCAGAATCGGCACTAAGTTGGCTACGCTTCTTACGAGAAATGGTAGACGTCTCAACACAGCCAAAGTTTATCTACAAAGCGCAGGGAACAATCTGCACATCATGAAAAATGCTTTAGTTGAAGAAATCATTATAGATTCAAAGGCAAGGAGGGCCTCTGGTATCAAAGTAAGATACAATAACGGCGCAAGTATCAACATATTTTCAACCAGGGACGTCGTTTTGTCAGCCGGCTCGATTGGCACACCCCATTTATTGATGCTGTCTGGAATTGGCTTAAAAAATCATCTTACCAAAAACAACATCCCTTGTGTTATAGACCTGCCCGTTGGACAGAACTTGCAGGATCATTTAATAGTTCCCCTGTATTTAAAAACTAATATAAAAGCGAATGTCTTACCAGAATCGATAGAACTATACTTATTACAATATATGCTTAACAGAAGCGGTCCGTTCTCCAAAATAGGCATAACGGACTTTATGGGTTTCATCAACACGCGCAATAATTCAGAACAACCTGACGTCCAATTTCACCACATGTATTATCCGAGGAGCGATAAAGCGTCGCTATTGCGTTACCTCGAAGGTATTGGATATAGAGAAGATGTCATGAACAGTGTAGCAGACTTGAACAATCGGTACGACCTATTGGGAATATATCCGACTTTGTTGCATCCGAAATCAAAAGGCGCAGTTATGTTAAACAGTAAGAGACCAGGGATGAAACCGAAAATCATACCCAATTACCTCGAGCACCCTGACGATACCGAAACACTGATTGATGCAATCAAATTCGTTCACACATTGGAATCAACAAAAGCCTTTAAGAAATTGGGAATTCAGATGGTGCACATAGATCTGGAGGGATGTTCGCAGTTCGTTTTGGATAGTGATAGCTATTGGAAATGTTACATACAACACATGGCCATAACGATCTACCATCCAGCCGGCACGGCGAAGATGGGCGATGATGAAACTTCTGTGGTCAACAATGACTTATTGGTCCACGGCGTAGATAACTTGAGAGTTGCGGATGCCAGCGTTATGCCGACTATGCCAGGGGCCAACATAATGGCGGCAACTTTAGTCATAGCGCAAAAAGCGGTTGATATTATGCAACAGACATATTCGCAGAAATCGGAACTGTAATTGCAATACTTAAATGTTATATCAACATTTAGCAATGGATGTTAATTGTCGTTTATTACATAATTATTTTTAAAATATGGTGAGTAATAGCTTCGAATTTTTATTTTACCAATACTGTATTACAATTAACGGATAATCCGTTAATTGTAATACAGTGTTGGTAAATCTTTCAATTATTACATGTTTTTATTATCCAACATAGTTAAGGTTATGTTAATATTAAAATTATAAATTATATTTTATTAACTATATGTAAAAATGTTAATAAATAAACATTAAACTACTTTAGCATTAAAAACTTTATTAATTACTCGTATTTACATACAATTTAAGATATAAATAACAGAGATGTACCCTAACAAAATGGGTATATTTTTACTTACTTATATGCAATTTCCGGTTTTGTTGGTAGTTTAAAATTAGATAATATACTTTATTTTATAGATAATGGACTTCGTCTGTGAACTAAACCGTCAAACGTGTTCTTTTTATGTCATCTGGTGTATTTCATACGTGAAAATCATAAATCATATGTGAAATAAAACAATTTGAATTGTGGTGTACAATATGTAATACCTAAAATAATATAAAAGTTCAAATCAAAATAAATGGTATATGTAATCACCGCAAGATATTTTTTCGTAATACCTGTACGTACTGCTATTTCATATCCGGAAACACTAAAGTGGGTCACATATGTATATAGCTCTAGGTATTGCTCGTAGTAGGCTTGACAAACAGCTTAAATAATCTGCAATTGCTTTATATGTACGTATATGTATTACGTAGGAAAGTCTTAGCAATATTGAAACTCTCATTAGTTTTTAACAAGCTTAAAGATTATAGTTAATAAATATTATGATAATCAGGTTTATTTGTACTTATAACAAATTTAACCCGGAACTCGGCGACCTTTGAATCCAACCATTTTTAACAAAGAATGAAATAATATAATTGACTAAATTTAATGTCATGCAGTACATTTTTTTCATTAAGCTCTAGTTTCACCAACATTTTTAGGGATCCATACCCAAAGGGTAAAACGGGACCCTATTACTAAGACGCCACTGTCTGTCTGTCTGTCTGTCCGTCTTTCACCAGGTTATATCTCATGAGCTGTAATAGTTAGAAAATTGACATTCTCACAGATGATGTATTTCTGTTGCCGCTATAACAGAAAATACTAAAAAACAGAATAAAAACTATTTCAGTAGGGTAGTCCCATACAAAAGATATGTTTTTTGCCGTTTTTATAGATAATGGTACGGAATCTACGCGAGTGCGACTCGTACTTGGCCGATTTCTTTAATTAGCGTTTGACTAACATGTCTTTTTAATTTACGGAACTTTTAAAATACATTCTATTACAAAAATATAACAAATTACTAATAAAATCAAAGAAGGCGGTTAAGGGGCCAGTTCATCACTTGAAATTTTCCGTAATAGAGTGAAAGTACATTTTTTATCTCGATAACGGCATAGAAAATCATCGGTACGTATACATTAAAATTTTTAATATTACTAAATTTATTTATTACTATGTTTATTTTTATATTTACATATTTTATAGTATTATTTATTACATATTATTTTATAGTATTATACGTTTTATGATTTTATTTACATCTATTTTTTTTTCTTCTTTATATATTTTGAGTTTAGAGTATATCTAGTTTTACACACCTACCTATCATAATATCAATGGTTTATTTCTCACCAATCTTATGTCAGGGTTTGCTGGAAGAAAACTCTTTTTAGGGTTAAGCTCGCCTTTGTACATTTTTTTTGTAACTTTGTTATCACTTATATACTCTGTGTACAATAAAGAATAAAAAGAAAAGAAAAAGAAGTTGTACGAGAAACATGTATATTATATTTGGCTAAAGTAGTCAACTTTACAACTTACCTTATTACATTAAGAGTTTATTAAACTTTGGTATAGAAAAATTTTATGTAGCTTTGCCTATCCATACAAAGCCGAAAGATTATTCCACAATACGAGACTTTGCACACAAACAAAGCACCTTTTCACATTGCAAAAATGGATCGTATTCCGGGATAGTGGAAATGTTTGCGGCGTTGCCTTGTTACGCATCTTCATGTTGTTGCAATATCTTCCCAACGGCTGAACAGCCTTTCTGAGACCGCTTACCCTTCATCATCGTCATCATTTCAGCCTGTTAGAGTCCACTGTTAAACATGCCCCTTGCCGTGTGGGAATCGAACCCACGACCCCCGACGCCGTAGCCAATAGCTTCGCAAAGGCGCCACCCTATAGTAAAATATCAAATTTTGTAAAATAGAATATTTCATTAGCAACAAAATGTCTGCAATAACGTGTTTTACAATCGACACCGATGCCGCGTTGCTTTGGGCAAGGGTTAGAGGGCCTTTGTTCTAGACGACAGATATGGTTGCGAAACGATGTTGCTGTCGAATAGCAAACAGGTGTTAAGTAACGCTTTCGCGTTTGTTTTTAATTGACAGGATGTTAAAAATATATTCTAACGTAAACATACTTAAAACATAACCAGCTAGCTATTAGGGCCAACACACAGCCAAGTGAGCCAGTGACGTACGCAAAGTTTAGGCAACTTTATCCCCTGCCCCTGTGTTGGCAACCGCCTTACCCCTTGTCAGTAAAAGTAAGATAAATTAATAACCCACCATATAACGCTTCCTTGCTACGGCACTTCACTCGAGCGATAGTCTATTCATCGGTGGAACTGGCGTAAGTAAAGTCAATCCACCGGTAGTTTAGTTCCAAATCTTTTCGGTAATCCTATATTTTTCTTAGATAATTGTAATCTTCAGTCATCTAAAAATAATCTCAATAAGGTTATCGGTTCTAAGCGTCATTTCTGAGTGATATTCAATACAGAACCTTGACACGGGTCGGAAAAGAAAAGCCATTTTTTTAAACATTGCCCTTACTTTAGGATAGCATTATAGTATAGACATATAGTAAGGACGTTTTACAAACATGAATTTCACGTGGACATTTTATTAGATTGTTTTAAACTTTTTTTTGTTATTTTTTTAATACATTATAATCATAAATATTCTAATACACCATTTGAAGCTTATTTGAACTTAAAATGATGCAGCATTTGAATTATAGTGATCTTAAGTAATGTAAAAATAATAAAAAAAAATAAATAATTAAACAAACAAATTAACAGGTAAAACACGGAAGCTCTAAATTCGTCATCTCTGCCGGCACCATTCACTCGTTCCAAAAACAAGCCCTTTTTTTGTAAGGTTAATTTGTTAAAAAAAACATTTAAAAAAGAAAACGTAGCTATAAAGCAATTGACCGAATGTATTTTTAAATGTCGAAGTTACGCGAGTTGGTGTAATTACATTGCAACTACATATTATTATACTGGTATGTCTTTCCGTATGATACGTTCTATCATCTGTCTCATTCACTTATATACGTCATATAACTTTTTTTTTTCATTTTTTTGGCTGGATGAGCCATTGTTGAACTTAGGGGCATTCACAGATCCGACGGTCTTGAGAAGGCGGCAAGTGAACTGGCGGTTCACCTGATGTTAAGTGATAACCGCCGCTCATGGACATTTGCAACACGTTGGGTTGTGCAGATGAGTGCACCTTTTAATAAATTATTACCTCACCCACCAGGCCAAACGCAGAAGTAGGTATAGCAGTTCCACTTTACGCCGGTCTTTGGTAAGGTCACAGTACTTCCCCGGACGGACCTGCCCATTCGTTCAACAGAAAATAATTTTACATGGCTCTACCAACCTGAACAAAATGCTTTTGCGCGCAAAACGACCCTATGCGCAAATTGAGTTACCGAGAATTGTAAAATTCAATTCAACAACAACCTTACACGCCGGCGACTCGTCACAGATACATGACAAAAGTAATTACCCAACAACTTTAACAATTCAAAATTTAAGAAAATTTTTAATAAGAATCCATTGTTTGTAAAGCGTTTCAAAGTCTCGATAAGTAAAGATTATTTTAAAAATACTAAGTTCTATGCCACCAACTCGCCTAGGGGCAAAGGCGCCTACGTATATTATTCAAGAAGATAAAGAAGTAATGATTTCTTGAATAACGCGAGTACTACACATTATTATACAAAACTCTTTTAGGGATTATAAAGGGGGTTGAAACTGCGTTGCTAACCTTATAAATATTGGGCCTGTTTGCCGACAACCCAAGTAACTAGTTGCAAATCTCAAGTGAAGCGAGCATAAAACTTTTTGAGGAAGAGTGGTTTAAAGTAAAGTAGAAAAGAACTCAACACCTAACATATCACCTAACATGTCATATCGATTGACGATATTTTTGCATTTGCAGGAACATAGAAAACAAACCGCGTGAACGGGCTGACAAACAATAACAGTCCAAACTCAGTGTTGTCTCAAGTAAAATATAAGCTACGAGCGCTATTCAAATTATATCCGGGATCTGCAAGGTATTCCATTTAAGAAAACCCTTAGAAAACCCACCAGTAAAAGTTATTATAAATGCCCATCCCTTTTACTTCACCGTTAAAACAAATTTTGTGCAGATAATAACATTTTTACGATGATGTTGATGATTGTTCCGATTTCGGCCATAGTTGCCTCTTCTGTCCGCTTCCGTAATATTTTTACACAATATAACCGTGTAAAACTAACATTTGCACTACACAACATTTTTATCGTCGTTCCATCATTATATTTTATTAGTAAGGCAAGTTAACGTAAATGTACCCGTAGTGTTTGATTTAGATAATCCACTAAAAATATCGAATATCAGTACTTTTATAAATAATTATTACCAATTTGTAAAATGTCACAGAAATTACAAACATTTTTAAATATAAATAATTGAACTACTGTCCTAATTTGGTGTCACAATCGAGGTTAAACGTTTTGTCTTTTTGTTCCCGGCGCAACTTTCTCCGTTAACGGTCGGCACTACTATATGTCTAGATCGAATCATATTGCATCTTAACAATAAATCATTAATATCTA